GTCTCCAAGCCTTACCCCAGCACCCCAAGGGTGGCTCTGCCCCTACCGGGTGCTCCCTCCCATCCTCTTGATGCTCCTGAGCCCCCCACCAACACCAGGGCAGCAACACTGAGAACAATAAATACTGTAATAAATAGAGAAAACCCTGTCACACAGTACTGCTCTGGCAGCAGGCAGTGTAGCCGGGGTCCTGGGGTACCTGCCCTGCTCCGCTCTCCCCAGGCCCCCTCCAGCGTGGGCGTGCGCAGGTGCCCGTCTGGCTGCAACGACATCAGCCCTGCCCCGCAGAAGCGCTCGATGTTGGGACAGGGGCGTTCAGTCCTTGACAGTGCTGTCCCGGCGGCAGGTAAGCATGGCTGCAGAAAAAACCTCCCCGACGCCGAACCTGGCAGAGGGCTGAGGCTGCAGCCATAGCCAACAGCCCTCCTCAAGGTTGGGGAGCACAAGGAAAGGGTGGGAGGGCAGCCCTGCTGGGGGGCAGGTGGCAGGTTGGAGTGTCTCAGGCATCAAGGTGGCCTTGGAGGCTCATCACCAGGACAGCAGAGCAACCTTCAGCAGGTAGGACGCATTCCTTGAGGCCTGGGCTGGGGGCAGTGCCAGGACTGCCTTGGGATCCTTGTAGGCTGAAGACAGGTAGGGTGAAGCCCTTTCCATGTTGAGTGTGAGGAAAGGCTATTCTGGTGAGCAGCAAAGTGGCCCCAGAGACTTGCAGAAGCCAAGGGGAGCTGAGCTGTAGGTGGGCGGAAACCAAGGGTTAAATCAAACCACACCAGCAGGATGGAACAGTGTCACAGGCCCCAGTTGCCCTGGGCTCATCGCCGGGGCCTGTGTCCCTGCCAGGTTCGAGGCTGGAGTCAGCGGCCAGTTCTCACACAGTCCTGAGGCCCAGCGTGTGCAGACAAAGCGGCGTTTAGTGTCCTGCGTGGGGGGGCGGGCGAGGCCCCGGCTCAGATGGGCTTGTACAGCAGCGTAGTGACGTACTTCTTCTTGTAGCGGTGCGTGGCACTGAGCACCATCACACCGTCCTGCAAGAGGCACAGCGTCAGCGGGAGCAGGTGGGAGAGCTCAGAGCAGCCTGGCTACACCGACCCAGGGGGAGGGGGGCACCCCCTGAGACACATCCTACACCCGTGACGGGGAGCCAGGGCAGAGCAAGGGAAGGATCTGGCACAGAGCAGAAGAGCCCAGGGCTGCTCAGCTGCACTGCGCTGCAGGGAGGCAGCTAAGGGGAAATGTAAGGAACCTATAGCCCTGCACATGCCGAGCTGTCCTCCCATGGGTCCTCCGATCCCTGCACCCCCTGTCTCCACCCTCCAGTTGTCCAGGGTCTGCTCCTGGGAGCCACAGCACCTCTCCCTCCCTCACCCGACAGCCTCACCCTTACCTTGATGGAGAGCGCGTAGAGGTGGTTGAGCATGACGTGGTTGGGTTCAGGCAGCAGTGCTGGGTCACACTAGGAGAAGAGGAGTTGTCACAGGGTGACTCCCCAGCTCCAGCCATCACAGGAGCTGCCTTCTCAGACAATCTGACCTGCTGGGGGCCTCTGGCAGTTCTAAACAGGAAGGTTGCTTAGCACCAAGCAGAGCAAGGGGCCAAACCAGTGTAGTTAATAGGAAAAGCGATGCTTTTCCCAGGAAATGCCAAGGGCCAGGCCCAGCCAAAGGAAGACCAGGCTCCCTGCAGACAGGGTTCCCTTCTCAACTCCAGTGTGGCTCTCTCTGTGGGGACAGTATGCTAGTACTCACTGAGATATTGGTGTCCTTGTTCAGGATGACCTGGAGGAGGTGAGGTGGGAGGATGGGTGGGGATTTGAAGCGTTCCTCCGGCCGGTATACGTACATCTCTTGGCCATAAGGTCCAGGTGGTGAGCTTGATAAATCTACAGAGAAGAGAAAGGAGGAAAGATGGAATGGCTAAAGCAGGACTGGTGGGCACAGAGCAGCTTCCAAGAAGGTGAGAAGGACCCAGCAGAGTCTTTCAGCCACAAATATCTTCCATCAGCCACGGCCACATATCCTTTAACAACAGCTCAGCTTTTTGACAGTGGAGTAAGCAGCCAGGCAAGCCCCAGGCACTTCCAAGTAGGGCTGTAAGCTGGTCCATGCACTGACACAACACAAGCACCCTGTGGTATCTGCCCCAAGATCCACACACACATCTGGGTCCCTCTCCCTCTAGCAAGCAGCCAGCGTGTCCCAGAGCTGTACCCTTTGCAGCAGGGGCACAGCAAGCAACGTGCCAGCATGCGCTTGGTGCTGCAGGACTGCCCGACGAGGCGGTCTTGGAAAGGGCAAACGGGAAGAAGTCTAGACTGAGCAGATGCTCAACACATGCGAAGGATGATGGGAAGGAAGCTGGGCTGGCAGCACCTCCTGGCCGCATCTGACCTGATCATTTTGGAAAAACCAGCACCCAGAAGGTCCCTAGAGCTGCTGATGCTTGTTGGGTTCTTTCCAGCAACGTACCTCCTGCCCAGGCTGCACAAGGACAGGGAGCTGAGTGCTATCTGAGATGGGGTTTGCACTAGGGATGGCAGGCCACCAAAACGCAACTGAGCTACCTGCCAGCATTACACAGCGAGCCAGTGCTGCCAGTGTCTGCCTGGTAACCTAACCTGCTGCTGTAACACAAGTGGAGAGGGAGGCTTCCAGCGTGCTAGGACTAGTACAAATTACCTTGGCACGTAAAGTAAGAGTAGCTGCTCAAAATAACCTGGAACCTGCTCTCGCCTAGCTTGGACCCCAGATCAGATCACTTACTCACAGTTGAGCAGACAGAAAGGGCTGATGTTCCCGACATTCACCAGTCTGAAACGGCTGCCTCGGCTGCGCACGGGCACTGACCCTGCTCTGGGACAGTGCTAGCACAGAAGAAGTTACACCAGCGCAGCCCCTCCATGGAGATGAGGCCTCAGCTGTGGGCTGCTGAGGACACGCTGACAAACACTAATCTTCCCAGGTGCAGGCCCACACCTCTGCTCTGGGGGTCTGTTCACCCCCAGAGCAGCGACTCTCAGAGCAGAGGAGGTGGAAAATAGCACATGCAAAGCTGTGATGCTAAAAAAAACTCACCCCGACCTGAGGTTTCTGAGCTCTCCAGTGAATCCACCTTCAAAGCATCGAACACCTCAAAGTCAGACTTCTTGACGTGAATCAGGTTGTTGATCGTCCCCATCTGGCTGGTGACCACAGGCTGGAAAGGACTGAGGTAAGAATCTTCCTACGTTCGACTCCACTCGAAGCACACTCAATGCTTTCTAGATCCTCCCGTTCCAAGCTGTCTTTGCTGCACCATTACCTTAGGTAGGCAGCGTCTAGCTCTGCTCTACACCTGCAGATCTCTGCTCTTTACCCTGGCAGGATTTCCCTTTACTCCCAGATTCCTGCATCGCCTCCTTTCTTCATCCTCCATCCTGCTACATACTGATGGGTAAGCGTCTTCTCCTTCCTGTGCTGCTACCCCATAATTCAGTTTGGAAGAGAAGCTGCAAGTCAGTGCTGACCCATGACCTATCTCTCTATGTATCCAATTCTCTGTGAGCCTTAAAGACCTTCTGGTGTTTCCCAGCCCCTCAATACCTCCCGAACACTCCTCTATACAGCAGTTCCCAGAGGAACCATCCTCTAAATCATGGGATGGAGATGCCCCTTTCATTTTGGAAGACACCTTCTGCTTTTCCTGGTGCCCCTCTGCTGCAGTTACATCTTGTCTAGTTACCTGAAGAAGACAAGATCTGTAGGGATAAAGCTTTGAGCGTTACCTCAGAAGGGTCGTGGACCCACTGGCCATCCACAAAAAATTTGTACTGGTGCTCCCCCTCCGGGAGGTCCAGGATAGCGACAAAGTCATTGTGGCTGTGCAGAGAGAACAGATATGAGACAGCATTACCCCAATGATGCTCTGGATGCTGCTCTTCCATGTGGTTCCAGAAAACAGCACTTTTTCGTGCACTGCCCAGCCCCTCTACTCCAACACCCGCACTAGCGTGGCTCAAGCTCCCAGGAGCCCAGCTGCAGGGAGCAATGGAGACAGTGCAGCCCTGTATGCCCAGGGGAAGTCAATGTGACAGGCACCCTGTGCAAGACACGCCAGGGAGAATGCATGTCAACTGAAGGACAGGAAAGGCGAGTGTAGCAGCTCTGTTTGTGAAGCCTGCAATTGAGATAAACCCATTCCAGATCATTTGCTGGGATTATGGCCAGTCGTACACAGAAATCACAGATATACTGCGGAACAGTGAGAACTTCGCTAGGGCAGGAAGATATGTGAGGGACAAGAAAACAAACTCCACTGATAACAACGCAACTAGGCATGAAGTAAGGCCAAGGGAAGAGCTGACAGCTTCCAGAAGACTGCTGTGTACCGGGGCAGGGCTCTCCTGCCAGGGCTGGATGATCTCAGAGGTCTTTTCCAGCCTTAATGATTTTATGACTCTATGACTAGCAGCTGCATGACATCCAGCTGGGCAAGCAAAGCGGCCCATCCTGTCCTGTCCCTCTGTTTCACAACTTCCCACCACACCACATCCCAGGGAAGAAGCTGACTACATATTTGTGCTCTGACCCTCCAGCTTGGGTGAACTGAGCAAAAACAGGTGAGCAAAGAGAATAACAACCCACACAGCAAAGGGAAAACACTCCCTGCGATGGAGCAGAGGAGAACACAGAGTGACCTGAGGGACTGGCTACCTCTTGATGAGTGGGATCTTGGTGCTCCAGTTGTTGAAGGATCCAGAGATAAAGACCTCTTTGCCTCCATCGGCCCAACGGATGACAGTGGGACGAGCCTGCTGGGATGGTTTCACTGACTCCTCCAGATCTGGCTGCCATGACACAAACTCCTTGTCCCCAGGAATCTGAGCAAAGAAAACCACAGCCTGACTGAGACACAAGCAGGACTGCATTCACTTCGCTCTGGCCTCTACCAGCCCACTTGCACATCCCAGACAAGAGCATTGCCAAGCTCCTCCAGCCTCCCAGCTCTCCACAGGCCCCTCACCTGGTCAGAGCGTAGCCCTGCACATCGAAGCCCCTACCTTGGAGTCCTGGGAGCTGAAAACACTGGGGTCATCAGTGCTGCCCACCATGATCTTGTGTGCGTGCTCCTTGGCGGGGTGGGGGGCACTGGAGCCATCTGAGCGGTGGGACTTGGAGCCATGGCGCTCCCCAGACACTCGTTCGCTGGTGGTGTTCCCCATGACAGCTCAGCAGCCCCTGTGAGAGAGAGAGAGAAGACAACAGTGTGCCTGTGCCCAGGGGCTCCGTCAGCGAGGAGAGGAGCAAAGGCGCCATTTCCCAGTGCTCTTTGCCAGGGAAGACTGACAGCAATCCTAAAAAAGGCCCAAAGTTCATTCTCCCTGCCAAGTTTGGGAGCTGAACGGGAACTTAATAAACAAGACAGCTTGATCTAATTATAGCCATATCCTCACGAACCACCACTCTAGTTAAGCTGGTAATTGTTATACTGCAAAACCGATACCAGTTACGCTGTGTCTCACAAAAGCCTTCATCAGCCAGCATAGCAGAGGGGCTGGTGGGAAAAATAATGCCAACCTTTACTGGCAAATCAATTGCTTGGCGTTAACAGAGCCTCTTTCACAGTCCCACAGTCAGTCTCTACACACAAATCCCCCACACCCAGCAAGAAAACAGCCGGGGAGTGAAAGTAGCAGCTGTTTAACAGCTCCCAACAAGTCTCCAAGAGCTGGCGGGCAGAAGAGTGGAGCCTTGCGCCTGGCAAAGGCAACAAGGAGCATTTAAAGCGTCCGAGTGGAATCGCCCAAGCTGGAGCTTGGCCAAGGTGTGGGGCTAATGCTGTGGTGTCTGCAAAAAAGCTCAGCTCTCGACAGTGTTCGCTTATGATTCTCCAGGCAAGCCAGCACGTCAGCTGCGGCACAGTGCAGCGAGGGGGGTCTGCTTGTTGTGACCGCAACCAGCAGCACCACCCCCAGCACCCCGGTGTCTGTCCAGCCGTCCGGAGGCCCGCAACAAGAGAAAGGCAATCCCAGACACCTCAGCTCCACTCTGGAGCTGGAGATGGGCTGTCATCCCTGATCTCATCCAGCTCAGAGAAGGCAGTACAGAAGAACTGGCTGCACGGCAGGCACCGAGCCATGAACAGCTACACACCTCTCCGGACAAACCCCAAAGTCACCGTGAGCTATGTGGGACTCTTCAGGCCTTACCCAGTTTGCAGCAGCCAAGATGGATCGGGGTTCTTGCCCCCTTCCCAGGCTTATTTTGCAGCTTTCAACTCACTGTGCAGATCACCAGCTCTGCAGGGCAAGGCAAGAGGACAGTCAGCCTTGCTTCATGTGCTTAGTTACGAGATTTGGGGATTTGTTTAGAAGATCAAGTTATATGAATGGTGGCAGGCAAGGCTGCCAGCCAAAGCCAGGCTTTAGAACATACGGAGCAATCACTGAAGTACTTCTTAAACCCTGAGGGCTAAAAGGCAGCTTGAGAGAGCAGCTACCCTGTATCCTCACCCCCTCTTGGTCAGGATCAAATGTACCTGAAGATCCAGGTCAGATGAGCCACACCACTTGCTCTGACATCTACCCCCTCTGCCCTGGAGGAGGACCAGCCAGCTCCTCACAAAATCTGCCCCTGTGCCGCTAGACCTGCTATTGAGGAGCTCCTTCCCCAACATCTCTGCTAAGGCTCCCTTATTTTTCAGCTACATGGCAGAAGGCAGGGAAGGCCAAGACAGATTTGAGAGATGTGCAGGTGGTAACAGATGGAAAAACTTCCCTCTCTCTTCTCTAAGAGGAATCCAGCCCTTCTGGCTG